TAGCTGTAGGAGCTCTTTATAAATCCTGGAAATAAACCTCGTACTAGATATGTGATTTGTACAGATTCTGTCCCACACTATGGGCTATCCTTTCACTCTTGATACTGTACTCTAAAGAAAAAAAATTTAATTTGGATGATATTTAAAGTATCAAGTTTGTCTTTTGTACCTACACTTTTGGAGTCATACCCAAGAAGTTCTTGACAAATTCATTGTCAAGAAAGATTTCCTCTATGTTTTCTTATAAGAAATTTATAGTTTTAGTTCTTAGATTTAGGTATTTGATCTGTTTTGAGTTATTTTTTATGTGTAATATGAGGTAAGAGTACAAATTCATTATTCTGAATGTGGATATAATCAATTTCCCCAACATTATTTGCTCAAAATACTGTGCTTTCCACATCAAATGATGTTGGTACCCTTGTAGAAATCAATTGTCCCCATATATGAGAGTTCATTTGGGGGATCTCTATTCCATTGGTATATGTGTCTGTCTTTATAACAGTACCACATTGTTTTTGATCACTATACCTTTATAATTATTTTTGACATCATAAAGAATGAATCCTCCAACTGTCTTCTTTTTCAAGACTGCCTTTGGGGGGGGTCCTTAAGATTCCACTTGGATTTTAGAATAGACTTTTATATTTATGCAAAAAATAACACTGGGATTTTGATAAACATTGCATTGAATATGCAACTACTTTCAGTAGTATTATTATCTCAGTGCTATTAAACCTTCCAATTCATAAATATGGGATACCTTTTGATTAATTTATACCTTCTTTAATTTCTCCTAGAAGTGTTTTGTAGTCTTCTATATACAAGTTTTTCATGTCTTTCATTAAAATTTTGGTAAATTATAAATGAAATTGCTCTCTTAATTTTTTTTTAAATTGTTCATTTCTGGTTTATAGAAACACAACTAATTTTGCGTATTTTATAACATGCAATACTGCTGAAGTTTTATTAGTTCTAGAAGTTTTATTAGTGATTTTTTTGAGCTTTCTATGTATATGTTCATGTCATCTACAAATACATATGATTTTGTTTTCAATTTGAATGCCTTCATTTCTTTTTCTTTGTTAATTGCTCCGGAGAACACATCTATTACAAATGTTGAATGACCATCACAATGTGGGTATCATTGTATTATGCCTGATCTTAGGTGAAAAAAAGTTCTTTAACCATGGAGTATACTGTTAGCTTTGGGATAGCATGTATTTTTTTGCATAAATGCTTGGATAATTCAATGGGAAAAGTTGTTCTACAAAAGTTGGTTCAACAAAAGCTATAGGAACATTTACATATTATTGTGTTAAAAAATTAAAATAAAATTAAAAGCTTAGATGCTTAACTCATCCCAGGTATAATAATAATTCAAAAGATTTCACAAATGTAAATAAGATGAAAATACTGAAAAAAATGTAATATTAATCAAAGATTTTTTAGAATACAAAAGCATGAACCATAAGGGAAAAATTTGGTAAATCAGACTGTGTAAATATTAAAAACTTTCTCTTTAAACATATCATAAAGAAAATGAAAACTATCCACATAACTGGAGAATATATTTACATGTTATATTTTAAATATATAAGGAATTCCTTAACTCAATGAGATGGCAAGCAACTCATAAATCATAGGCAAAAGATTTGTGAAAGCCATCTGCCAATGAAAACTCACACATGGTAAATAACACACATGAAAATGTGCTCAATATTAATCATTAGAAAACAAAATACAAATTTTTCACAATAAAATACCACTGCATAGTCACCGAATGGCCGTGGAGTAAAATACAATGTGTTATTAAATAGAATGTGATGTAGCTGACACTATAGAAAAACTGGATCTTTCACAAATTGAGATGTAAATCCATCCATAAAATGCTACAGTACTCAGCAATTAAAAGGAACAAAGTACTGAGACATGCAACAACACGGATGAATCTCAAAAAAATTGCTAAGAGAAAGAAGCTATAGAGAAAAATCTAAATATTATTTAAAACCCCTAAGTATGGTGTGATTTCAGTTACACAAAATTTCTAGAAAATAAAAAATTATTACATCAAAAATAGCATATCTAGTTGTTTGGGGCTAAAAGTGGAAGTGGGGATTGACTAGAAATAAGCTTCAGGAACATTTTTGGAAAGTGTTCTGTAGCTTAGCCAGGCATGGTGCCTCATGCTATAAACCCAGTTACTCAGAAGGCAGAGATCAGGAGGATCATGGCTTGAGGACCAGCCCAGGCAAAAAGTTAGCCAGAATTCATCTCACAAAAAAGCTGGGAATCATGTATGTCTATAATGCAGCTGTGTGAGAGGCATATGTAGGAGGATTGTGGTCTGAGGCTAGCCCAGGAGAAAACACTAGATTCTATCTGAAAAATAAGTAAAACCAAAAAAGGGGAAGAGGACTGGGGGCGTGGCTCAGGTAGCAGAGCAATTGCCTAGCAAGTACTGAGTTCAAACCTAGTACTATCAAACAACAAAAAATTCTGTAGCTGTTCTATAGTAACATGTACACAACCATAAATTTAATGCCACTCAGAGTGTATGTGTATATATGTGTATGTATGCATATATAAAACTTTGAGGAAGCATGAAAATCCCAGAACTATTAGTCCCTGTCTTGCTTCTATCTTTCCTATCAAGGAAAATGACTATGACCATGAAAGAATGAAACTAACTTTGATAAGAAAGAAGTAAGTCAACTACAAGAGAAGCACTCTGTTGGAGAGGGTCTAACCACTTCATTGAAACTCAATCCTTTTGCACCTTGGAAATAATATCCTAGTCCCCTACACTGACCTCTCCTACAAAGAAAAATCACAGATGATATTGCTAAATTACTGTTAGTGGTCACAGGAAAAGTAGAAAATTATAATAGTCATAATTCCACAGGTCCCAACCTGCATAGAGGGCTACCAGAAGGCATTTCAGTTTTTAAGGAAAATACATTTTTCACATCTGTTGGACCCCGAGACAAATATTAGCCTGAGGTAGTTCACAGTTTCAACAATAGATAGCACTACATTCCTTTCAATCACATCCCCTTCTTGTGAAGCTGGTTGTTCCTGCTGGCTGTTGCTAGGATAGGAAGCAAGTACAGTATGAAAATCAAAGTGGAACAGGAAAGAACACAGGTCCCTTCACATTCAACCCACAACCGGCATTTCCCTGCTCCCCTGTAACCAGTGTCCATCACTCTTGCTATGTGTCAACCTCCTTTGAAGGCAAGGACCCTATCTAGTTATTTTTTAATTGAAAAATATCGATGCTGCTCTGATTCTACCCAGTGTTATAAATATTTACAAATCTAAACCTCAACAGTAGCAGTAACAAGGGCAAGCTGTTAAAGGAATATATCCCACACTAAGGATCATGATTTCAAAAAGGTGGAAAAATCAAGAGGAGTCTATTCAGGAAAGAATAGTTAGAAATGTGAAAGTCTTTTTAAGTTATGACAGGCCAGAAACACTTGGGAAGATTGAAAATATCTCACCCAGAGAAGGAAAGACTTAAGATAAAAGTAAATGCCTCCTACCACCAAGAAACGGAGGCTAGATTCCCAGTGACCAGACTCTCCAGGAATGCCCAAGGCATCATTCCCAGTCTACATTTCAGGTGCAAGAAGAGTGAGCAAAAACTGGAGCAGCACAGAAAATGAGAGGCTGAACCAGTACAAAAGCAATAATGTTATGTAGGTTTTATTTAAGGTTTCCCTAGTTCTATTAGAAATGATTGTCTATAATACATAAAGAAAAAGAATATGCTATAATTTTTATTATGCACAAATCAATCAATCATATAGCTAATTAATAAATAACAAATATTAATTAAATAGTCAATGAAAACCAAATTTAGTGTTTAGACTGTATTTATGCACAAAGGCACTTGTGATAGTCCTTACCCAAGGGAAATGTAGGTAGTTAAAGTTTTACTTGCACAAAAAAACAGGATTGACAAAATACAAGATACTGAAGAGAAACTGCACAGACAAAATTTAACTATATCTTCTTAAGTTTTAGCTATATCCTGCGTTCCATTACCTCAAAATCTTGCACAATTTCTGCAGAGCCCAATATTCTATGACTTCTCTCTCTCCCTTAAATTAGTTTGAGGTACACTAGTTTGTGATGATCTCTCTTGACTTGTGCCATTCCCTAGCATTGTGGTAGATTTAGCACAATATGGTTTAGAGGGCTCCTTACCACATGTTCCTAGCTGACAATTCTAAGACATTCTGGAAAAGGTGAGGATATAGGAACTTACAGTCAACATAGAGAAGCCATCAATATTTTATGAGATTGTAGAAATGTAAGGGACCTCCAGAGCTTAGTGTAAGGTACTAGAGAATGGCAAGAAGTTAAAAGATACCAAAATGTAATTTTTGACTTAAATGAATTAAAAATATAACTGTGACAGACATTTACACAACTAATAGAACTTAAAGTAGAAAAAAAAGAAAGTTAGTTATAGGAGTCAATATTTGTGAAAAAAGAAAGACAATAATTAATACACTATCAACAAACAACAAATAGAAGAATGTTCCTAGGCTTGAGGCTATGGATGAATATAAAACTCACAATCAATAAGAATAAATCTTCCATTTGTCACAGAAAATTACCTGAAAATGTCTTTGTGGGGTAGGGTGAGCAACTACTTCAGTTTAGCCAGTACTATCCTGATTTTAATGGTGAACATTTCATGTCCTAGGAATTTTCTCACTCTTGGGGAAAACCAGGAATTTGGTCACCTTACTACTATTATCATTCCAAAAAAATGTTGTAAATAGCCTACTGCAAACAAAATCATGTCACCATTTAATCAAGGAAAAGAACACAAATTTCATTTAGTGCAATTAAAAAGGTTTTTAACTGAATTCTCCATATTGTGCCTGAACCTCTCTGATGATTGCTAAGTGCAGAAAGGGAATGAAATACGCTTCCTTGGGTCCTGGTGCTTCACGTACTGGCAATGGGCCAAGTTCACTTACTTTTGCTGCACCCAAATAGACTGTTGGCATCCAAATGGCTTGCACCAGGAACACAAGTGTCACACTTTGAGCCACTGACAAACTGTTTACAGAAACACTGGCCTGTGACCAAGTGACAGGTATCATTCAAGGCTCCTGAGAGATGACAGTTGCAAGGCTGACATCTGAAAAAAAGACAAACTATGAATAAGAACAGTATTTTGACTAAGAATTCATAGTATAAGTTATACATATCAATAACACTGTGGATTGGGATGATCTGTTTAGGCAGTGTTTTGAAAAGGATGCTTGAGTTAAAAAAGCACAAAATAAAAAAAACAGAAAAGATCTTTATCAAAATGCTATTGAAGAAAAAACTTCTCTTTTTAGTTTATAAAGATTCTCTTTATAAGCTATTTAATGGTCTCAAAACTGTGCTAAATCATTTTTGCATACCATACCACATCTTCTGAATTAGTCAGAATACCAGTTATTCAATAAAGAATACTGTAAACCTTGTTTTCGTATAGTAGCGGTTCTACTGTCAGCTAAAGATTTAAATTAGGTAGCCATAAAATTAATCTTTTCAAATAATTATCTAGTTATAAAAGAGAAAACTAGGAGGGGTCAGTCATGGCTTCCTTAAAATTATTTAAATTTTATATTTAGCTCTATAAAAACTAAATTTTACTAAAAATGTTTAGGAACACAGACTCAAATGACTGTTGGTACCTTCATAGGGGTTATGTTTAATTTTCTATTTTATGCACTGAACTCATCTATCCAGAATGGTTGGAGAATAGAATATAATTCTGATTTGTGGAAAGATGTTAGCAGTATAAATATAATGGGATATCTTCACTGAAACCTAAAATTTCTTAGACTTCAAGTCATCTATAAACAATAGTACTGCCATTTAGCCATGATAGAAATTGAAACCTCTTTCCTCAGGTGAATTAATCAAACATACACATACAACCATGGCATTTATTAGAATAAGCAATTTTGGTGACATGAAGTATTAAAGATGGAAAAACAGCCCAAGAAGGCTATTTACGCAAGGACTCTCCATGTGGTACGATTCACCTATGTGTTCTAATAGAGATGTGGATAGAGTTACTTTACTCCACTGCTGTTTTTGCTGTGTGATCTCTTGGGTAATCATTCAACACCCTTAGAAAGGCCGATAAAAGCTTAAGCTGACAAATAAGCTGCAAATTTGTTTTATGGACTAATATCCCCTTGGGAATAAATAAAGTACAGTTTCTCTTGAAAACCACCATACTGTAATTTGCCCTTTTTATGGTCATGATAAAAGGACATTCTCCCCCAACACAAAAAACTCTAGCATGTCTTGTATCTATACACGTTGCTTCTGAACTCCATTTCAAATACATCCTTTATTTAGGACATTAGATTGGAAGAAAATTATGCATTGAAATTAAAATGGAATTACAGAAACAGTAAAATATTTGATTCTCTCTTAATATCATTATATGCTATTACTTAGAGTGTAATTGTTTGTAGGCTTTTAATGTAATATTGGTGAGCATGAACTGTAAAAAGCAAGCTTCTCTCAGTGCATGTGTCTATATATGTATTTATATATCACTGCACCATTCATGAATAAGCGTCTCTTGAGTGTTTCCATTTTATTACCATTCACTCATGAGACAATCACACGTATTTTACATACAGTACATTTAGAGTAATAGTTCCCAGTGTATAACATAATTCCTTTCCTTAATGCAGTTCTATTTTCTTCCAGCCAACTGCTACTTGCATAACTTCAAGTCAGCTATGTCAATATCCCTGGGATATTAAGTTTTAAATCCAAATGGAATAAATAAATCACTTCTTGGGAAAGCATGCAATGTTTTGAGTAATTAAATGTGTCTACTCCTGATTTTTTAGTCTCTTCCTCCAGCTATCATTATATTGAACATATTTGACTTGTTATAATTGCTTAATATCAGTAAGAGGGAAATTTCCCTAAATGAAGTTCAATGGAGGTGACTTTTTTGAATATTGTAGTTTGTTGCTAGCCCAAAGGACACAGCGGATAATTTCACAATTAAGGTTTAAGTAAAATGATTCCTATAAATTTCTCAGCCACTCAAATATGATTATAAACATTTCCAAGACTCTTTAGCCAATAAACTACAAGTTTGCTGTCATTTTTATAAGTTCTCCCTCCTCAAGAGTACCTCCTAAATGAAATACATTTCACATTTATTAAAACAAAATTATACATAATAAAGGAAAAGACATCTTAAGCTTGGAAAGAGAAACACCAAAGTAAGATGAATTGTGATATTGATTTTGCCAGGATAAATGGTTTTTGTAATATTAACATAAAGGAACCTTTATTACACTGACTCTCCTGGTACAGCCAGACCTTCTCCCACAATCTGTTTAAAATCTTCATTTTTCATCCTTATGGGAAAACCTCACTTGCTAAATGGATTTCGTAAAGAGTAATCTGTCAAGATTTATACAGATAAACAATTTGTGATGTTTATTGATCAGTTCATTATGATAAACAAAACAGAGGTAAAGCACCACTAGTCTCCACCAGCTCTGTTGGTATTGCTCTGTCTGGGTTCTTATGTAACTCAGTATTTAACCAGATACAATGGAAAAGTAGTTAATTGTCCTCTCTCTTAAACCACAGATCTCAAAGAGTTTCCTTTTCTGGGAGTTTCTTCCAGTTAAACAAACAGTAAGAAAAAGAGTTAGCCTCATGAAGATTATTATAGAAACATATTTGTCAGCAAAGGGAGTGTATCTTAATACTACATTATTGTCTAAAACTTTATCTGAGGGTCAGTTGTTATAAGGGATGCAGGAGATAGTCTTAAGATAGAGATCATTTTGTTGCCAATTCTCATCGTGCACCCCTCTTCTGTCTGGGATCTCAAGTCCTAGTTACATCAAATTGATTTAAATAGTGTCAGGTATGATGGTGCACACTGTGGTCCCAGTTACCTAGGAGGCAGAAGTTCAAGATCAGCCCAGGCAGTTATGCAAGACCATATCTGAAATACAAATTAAAAGCAAAGGACTGGAGGGACGGGCTCAAGTGGTAGAGCACTTGCCTAGCAAGTCAATGTCTTGAGTTCGGTCCCTAGTATTGCAAAAGTAAATAAATCAATAAGAAAATAAACAACAATTGACATAAATAACATTCATTGTGTGTATGTAAACTACATGTATATGCAAATATTCAGAAAAATTTTAAAAACTCAAAATTTGAAACACTTTTAGTCTCATTCATTTCAGATAACAGATATTCAACTTCTATTAAGAAGGAATCAGTATAAGCCACACAAATCAGGAAGAGAAAAAAAATAAAAACAAGAGGAGTGAAATTATAAGAATTCATAATTTTTGGATATTAATTCAGAATGGGGAGTAGTGAATGATTACATTGGGAAGATAAACAGAGGTAAGATTCTACTAAATTAGGGCAATGGAAAGGAAAGGGCTAGAGTTAAGAAATGTTCAGAAAATATGATTGGTAAATTGGGGGTGACAAACTGAAAAGAGAAGGGAAGAAGAGCACAGGTACTCCTGGATTTCTAAACAGCTGACAGAAGAATTACAGGACATCATTCAACATAAATATGAAGGAGAAGGAGATCTCAAATTGCTAAGGGATTTTAGACAAGGATTATCAGTGAATAAAGAAAAGAGGCTTCAAGGCAAATGGGTGAAATTGGGGCAAAGAGTTTTGTTCCATCAGTACCTTGCACAGGAGCTAGCAACTCAGAATTCAATAAATACTGCTGACTAAATGAATTTATAGTGAATAAAGCATCAGGAAAGCTTTAGACTTAGGATAGAACCTAGTGATAACCCAAATATGTATTGTAGAACTAATGGCAATTTAGCTCTCTTGATCCCTTTTTTATTGACATGACCTTGCTTCCCCTGGCTATTCTCAACCCCAAAAAAAGAATAGCTTTTCTTCAAGGACTGGTCTCTGCTCAAAGTCCCTAAGACCAGGAGTTCTTGGGTTAGTTTCCAGTGCAGGATGTTCTGTGAGCCACAGTGTACTCTAAGGAGGAGGTTGACTTCCTCCTAGTGAAGAACACATTTCATCTCTGCAGTAGAGGTGCAGTCTCCTGGAGGTATAGTCTTATCACAGCCTCTTAATTGCACTCGGATTCTCTTAGCTGGAATGAGAATTACAGCAGAAATTTAGGGCTTGGCCATCTACTTTGTGTGAGCTGAAAGCCATACTCAATTGCTTATAGAAGAGTATATGGCAGTGATACCATCTTGGAAGAAGTTAACAATCCCCAAACCACTCTCTTCAGTGAAATTTTCCCAGGCATGAATGTAGGAATTCATAAAAACTAGATCAAGGCAGTGACTCCCTTGCACTCAGGCAATGGTCATATCTAAGTCAAGGAAGGTGATATTTCTGTTACCTAGAGAAAAGCTAAGCTTGCTTAGCACATTGTATGTTTGAGATTCCTACTTCCTTCTCCATTGATGACACTCCACATAATCACACAAATAGCTTCAAAACATGATCGCAGATTCAAATTCTTAAAATGCTTTCATATAGAAGAAAGATTATACTTATTTTCTATGGTCCCAGAGGCAGAATAACAGTAGGCAACAGAGTTACAAAAATAAAACTGTTGGTTCAATAAAAAGAATAAACTTCTGATTCAAAATTATAACTGCTGAAAATAAACCTGTGCTATTTTATGAGAGAGTGGGATCTTTCTAATTCCATGTTTTGGAGGAGAAATAAACATTTATCAGTTATTCTGAAAAGATGATTTAGGCAGAAAAACCTTAATTAATTTCAAAGTTCTTACTAACTCTATACAGTGATAATCCTATGATGCTTAGTGAGATTAATTAAGTAGCCCAAGGTGACAGTATATCTAGTAATAGGGTCTGCAATCTTTATCTACAGCATACCAGATAGATAGTAAATATCTCTGACATAATTCAACTCTGCTGCTGACACTGGTAAGCAGCTACAGACAATATGTAAAGAATGAACATTGTTTTGCTCCAATAAAACTTTATTTACATAAACAGGTGACAAGCCAGAGTTGATCCCCAGACCATAATGGCTGAATTTTAGTATGGCAGACTGAATTCTGCCTCCCCCAACCCCTGCCCAACACACACGAATACCCAAGTCCTCATCACTAGATTT